GCCTGCTTTTAACCTAAAATATCCCTTATTTTCACAGAAATCCCTGTTTTTCACCTAAAATATCGCTTATTTTCACAGAAATCCCTGTTTTTCTAAAATATCGCTATTTTTCATGAAATCCCTGTTTTTAACCCTAAAATATCGCTTATTTTCATAGAAATCCCTGTTTTTCCCCTAAAATAAAATATCGCTTATTTTCATAGAAATCCCTGTTTTTCCCCTAAAATATCGCTTATTTTCACAGAAATCCCTGGTTTTCTCCTAAAATATCGCTTATTTTCACAGAAATCCCTGTTTTTCCCCTAAAATATCGCTTATTTTCATGGAAATGCCTGCCTTTAACCTAAAATATCCCTTATTTTCATGGAAATCCCTGTTTTTAACCCTAAAATATCGCATTTTTTCATGGAAATCCCTGTTTTTAACCCTAAAATATCCCTTATTTTCACGGAAATACCTGTTTTTCCCCTAAAATATCACTTATTTTCACATAAATCCCTGTTTTTCCCCTGAAATATCGCTCATTTTCATAGAAATCCTTGTTTTTAACCTCAAACATCACTTATTTTCATAGAAAACCCAGTTTCTAACCTAATACAACGCCTATTTTCACATAAATCCCTGTTTTCCCCATTAAATATCGCTTATTTTCCAAGAAATCCCTGTTTTTCCCCCTAAATATCGCTTATTTTCATAGAAATCCCTGTTTTTCCCCTGAAATATTGCTTATTTTCATAGAAATCCCTGATTTTCCCCTTCAACATCGCTTATTTTCACAGAAATCCCTGTTTTTCCCCTTTAAATATCGCTTATTTTCATAGAAATCCCTGTTTTTCCCCTAAAATATCGCTTATTTTCACAGAAATCCCTGTTTTTCCCCTTAAATATCGCTTATTTTCATAGAAATCCCTGTTTTTCCCCTAAAATATTGCTTATTTTCATAGAAATCCCTTTTTTTCTCTTAAAATATCGCTTATTTTCATAGAAATCCCTGTTTTTAACCTAAAATATCGCTTATTTTCATAGAAATCCCTGTTTTTCCCCTAAAATATCGCTTATTTTCACAGAAATCCCTGTTTTTCCCCTAAAATATCCCTTATTTTCATAGAAATCCCTGTTTTTAACCTAAAATATCGCTTTTTTTCATGGAAATCCCTGTTTTTAACCCTAAAATATCCCTTATTCTCATAGAAATCCCTGTTTCTAACCCTAAAATATCGCTTTTTTCAATGGAAATCCCTGTTTCCCCTAAAATATCGCTTATTTTCATGGAAATGCCTGCCTTTAACCTAAAATATCACTTATTTTCATGGAAATCCCGGTTTTTAACCCTAAAATATCCCTTATTTTCATAGAAATCCCTGTTTTTAACCCTAAAATATCCTTATTTTCATGGAAATCCCTGTTTTTCCCCTAAAATATCGCTTATTTTAATGGAAATGCCTGCTTTTAACCTAAAATATCCCTTATTTTCACAGAAATCCCTGTTTTTCCCCTAAAATATCGCTTATTTTCACAGAAATCCCTGTTTTTCCCCTAAAATATCGCTTATTTTCATAGAAATCCCTGTTTTTAACCCTAAAATATCGCTTATTTTCATAGAAATCCCTGTTTTTCCCCTAAAATATCGCTTATTTTCATAGAAATCCCTGTTTTTAACCCTAAAATATCGCTTATTTTCATAGAAATCCCTGATTTTCTCCTAAAATATCGCTTATTTTCACAGACATCCCTGGTTTTCTCCTAAAATATCGCTTATTTTCACAGAAATCCCTGTTTTTCCCCTAAAATATCCCTTATTTTCATGGAAATGCCTGCCTTTAACCTAAAATATCCCTTATTTTCATGGAAATCCCTGTTTTTAACCCTAAAATATCGCATTTTTTCATGGAAATCCCTGTTTTTAACCCTAAAATATCCCTTATTTTCACGGAAATACCTGTTTTTCCCCTAAAATATCCCTTATTCTCACGGAAATCCCTGTTTTTCCCCTGAAATATCGCTCATTTTCATAGAAATCCTTGTTTTTAACCTCAAACATCACTTATTTTCATAGAAAACCCAGTTTCTAACCTAATACACCACCTATTTTCACATAAATCCCTGTTTTCCCCATTAAATATCGCTTATTTTCCAAGAAATCCCTGTTTTTCCCCCTAAATATCGCTTATTTTCATAGAAATCCCTGTTTTTCCCCTGAAATATTGCTTATTTTCATAGAAATCCCTGATTTTCCCCTTCAAATAGCTTATTTTCATCGAAATCCCTGTTTTTCCCCTAAAATATCACTGATTTTCAAAGAAATCCCTGTTTTTCCCCTAAAATATCGCTTATTTTCACAGAAATCCCTGTTTTTCCCCTAAATATCGCTTATTTTCATAGAAATCCCTGTTTTTCCCCTAAAATATCGCTTATTTTCATAGAAATCCCTGTTTTTCCCCTTCAAATATCGCTTATTTTCATAGAAATCCCTGTTTTTCCCCTAAAATATCGCTTATTTTCACAGAAATCCCTGTTTTTCCCCTTAAATATCGCTTATTTTCATAGAAATCCCTTTTTTTCTCTTAAAATATCGCTTATTTTCATAGAAATCCCTGTTTTTAACCTAAAATATCGCTTATTTTCATAGAAATCCCTGATTTTCCCCTTCAATATCGCTTATTTTCACTTAAATCCCTGTTTTTCCTCTAAAATATCCCTTATTTTCACAGAAATCCCTGTTTTTAACCTAAAATATCGCTTATTTTCATAGAAATCCCTGTTTTTCCCCTAAAATATCGCTTATTTTCATAGAAATCCCTGTTTTTAACCTAAAATATCGCTATTTTTTCATGGAAATCCCTGTTTTTAACCCTAAAATATCCCTTATTCTCATAGAAATCCCTGTTTCTAACCCTAAAATATCGCTTTTTTTCATGGAAATCCGTTCTTCCTCTAAAATATCGCTTATTTTCATGGAAATCCCTGTTTTTCCCCTAAAATATCGCTTATTTTCATGGAAATCCCTGTTTTTAACCCTAAAATATCCCTTATTTTCATAGAAATCCCTGTTTTTAACCCTAAAATATCCCTTATTTTCATGAAATCCCTGTTTTTAACCCTAAAATATCGCTTATTTTCATAGAAATCCCTGTTTCTAACCCTAAAATATCGCTTTTTTCAATGGAAATCCCTGTTTTTCCCCTAAAATATCGCTTATTTTCATGGAAATGCCTGCCTTTAACCTAAAATATCACTTATTTTCATGGAAATCCCTGTTTTTAACCCTAAAATATCGCTTATTTTCATAGAAATCCCTGTTTTTAACCCTAAAATATCCCTTATTTTCATGGAAATCCCCGTTTTTCCCCTGAAATATCGCCTTTTAATGGAAATGCCTGCTTTTAAACTAAAATATCCCTTATTTTCCATGAAATCCCTGTTTTTCCCCTAAAATATCGCTTATTTTCACAGAAATCCCTGTTTTTCCCTAAAATATCGCTTATTTTCATAGAAATCCCTGTTTTTAACCCTAAAATATCGCTTATTTTCATAGAAATCCCTGTTTTTCCCCTAAAATATCGCTTATTTTCATAGAAATCCCTGTTTTTAACCCTAAAATATCGCTTATTTTCATAGAAATCCCTGTTTTTCCCCTAAAATATCGCTTATTTTCACAGACATCCCTGGTTTTCTCCTAAAATATCGCTTATTTTCACAGAAATCCCTGTTTTTCCCCTAAAATATCCCTTATTTTCATGGAAATCCCTGTTTTTAACCCTAAAATATCGCATTTTTTCATGGAAATCCCTGTTTTTAACCCTAAAATATCCCTTATTTTCACGGAAATACCTGTTTTTCCCCTAAAATATCCCTTATTCTCACGGAAATCCCTGTTTTTCCCCTGAAATATCGCTCATTTTCATAGAAATCCTTGTTTTTAACCTCAAACATCACTTATTTTCATAGAAAACCCAGTTTCTAACCTAATACACCACCTATTTTCTCATAAATCCCTGTTTTCCCCTAAAATATCGCTTATTTTCCAAGAAATCCCTGTTTTTCCCCCTAAATATCGCTTATTTTCATAGAAATCCCTGTTTTTCCCCTAAAATATTGCTTATTTTCATAGAAATCCCTGATTTTCCCCTTCAACATAGCTTATTTTCATCGAAATCCCTGTTTTTCCCCTAAGATATCACTGATTTTCAAAGAAATCCCTGTTTTTCCCCTAAAATATCGCTTATTTTCATAGAAATCCCTGTTTTTCCCCTAAAATATCGCTTATTTTCATAGAAATCCCTGTTTTTAACCATAAAATATCGCTTATTTTCATAGAAATCCCTGTTTTTAACCCATTAAAATATCGCTTATTTTCATAGAAATCCCTGTTTCTAACCCTAAAATATCGCTTTTTTCATAGAAATCCCTGTTTTTCCCCTAAAATATCGCTTATTTTCATAGAAATCCCTGTTTTTCCCCTAAAATATCGCTTATTTTCATGGAAATCCCTGTTTTTAACCCTAAAATATCCCTTATTTTCACAGAAATCCCTGTTTTTAACCCTAAAATATCGCTTATTTTCATGGAATCCCTGTTTTTAACCCTAAAATATCCCTTATTTTCATAGAAATCCCTGTTTCTAACCCTAAAATATCGCTTTTTTTCATGGAAATCCCTGTTTTTAACCCTAAAATATCCCTTATTCTCATAGAAATCCCTGTTTCTAACCCTAAAATATTGCTTTTTTCAATGGAAATCCCTGTTTTTCCCCTATAATATCGCTTATTTTCATGGAAATGCCTGCCTTTAACCTAAAATATCACTTATTTTCATGGAAATCCCTGTTTTTAACCCTAAAATATCGCTTATTTTCATAGAAATCCCTGTTTTTAACACTAAAATATCCTTTTTTTTCATGGAAATCCCTGTTTTTCCCCTTAAATATCGCTTATTTTAATGGAAATGCCTGCTTTTAACCTAAAATATCCCTTATTTTCATGGAAATCCCTGTTTTTCACCTAAAATATCGCTGATTTTCATAGAAATCCCTGTTTTCTCCTAAAATATCGCTTATTTTCATGGAAATCCCTGTTTTTCCCCTAAAATATCGCTTATTTTCATGGAAATCCCTGTTTTTAACCCTAAAATATCCCTTATTTTCATAGAAATCCCTGTTTTTAACACTAAAATATCCTTATTTTCATGGAAATCCCTGTTTTTCCCCTAAAATATCGCTTATTTTCATAGAAATCCCTGTTTTTAACCTAAAATATCGCTTATTTTCATGGAAATCCCTGTTTTTCACCTAAAATATCGCTTATTTTCATAGAAATCCCTGTTTTCTCCTAAAATATCGCTTATTTTCATGGAAATCCCTGTTTTCCCCTAAAATATCGCTTATTTTCATGGAAATCCCTGTTTTTCCCCTGAAATATCGCTTATTTTCATGGAAATCCCTGTTTTTCCCCTAAAATATCCCTTATTTTCATGGAAATCCCTGTTTTTCCCCTAAAATATCGCTTATTTTCACAGAAATCCCTGTTTTTCCCCTAAAATATCCCTTATTTTCATAGAAATCCCTGTTTTTCCCCTAAAATATCCCTTATTTTCCATGAAATCCTAGTTTTTCCCCTAAAATATCGCTTATTTTCATAGAAATCCCTGTTTTTCCCCTAAAATATCGCTTATTTTCATAGAAATTCCTGTTTTTAACCTAAAATATCGCTTATTTTCATAGAAATCCCTGATTTTCCCCTAAAATATCACTTATTTTCACAGAAATCCCTGTTTTTCCTCTAAAATATCCCTTATTTTCACAGAAATCCCTGTTTTTCCCCTAAAATATCGCTTATTTTCATAGAAATCCCTGTTTTTCCCCTAAAATATCCCTTATTTTCATAGAAATCCCTGTTTTTAACCTAAAATATCGCTATTTTTTCTTGGAAATCCCTGTTTTTAACCCTAAAATATCGCGTATTCTCATAGAAATCCCTGTTTCTAACCCTAAAATATCGCTTTTTTTCATGGAAATCCGTTCTTCCTCTAAAATATCGCTTATTTTCATGGAAATCCCTGTTTTTAACCTAAAATATCGCTATTTTTTCTTGGAAATCCCTGTTTTTAGCACTAAAATATCGCTTATTCTAATAGAAATCCCTGTTTCTAACCCTAAAATATCGCTTTTTTTCATGGAAATCCGTTCTTCCTCTAAAATATCGCTTATTTTCATGGAAATCCCTGCTTTTATCCTAAAATATCCCTTATTTTCATGGAAATCCCTGTTTTTCACCTAAAATATCGCTTATTTTCACAGAAATCCCTGTTTTTAACCCTAAAATATCCCTTATTCATGGAATCCCCGTTTTTAACCCTAAAATATCCCTTATTTTCATAGAAATCCCTGTTTTTTCCCCTAAAATATCCCTTATATTCATGGAATTCCCCTGTTTTTAACCCTAAAATATCCTTATTTTCACAGAAATCCCTGTTTTTAACCCTAAAATATCGCTTATTTTCATGGAAATCCCTGTTTTTAACCCTAAAATATCGCTTATTTTCACAGAAATCCCTGTTTTTACCCTAAAATATCGCTTATTTTCATAGAAATCCCTGTTTTTAACCCTAAAGCATCCCTTATTTTCACAGAAATCCCTGTTTTTCCCCTAAAATATCGCTTATTTTCATAGAAATCCCTGTTTTTAACCCAAAAATATCGCTTATTTTCACAGAAATCCCTGTTTTTCCCCTAAAATATCGCTTATTTTCATGGAAATCCCTGTTTTTAACCCTAAAATATCGCTTATTTTCATGAAATCCCTGTTTTTCCCCTAAAATATCGCTTATTTTCATAGAAATCCCTGTTTTTAACCCTAAAATATCGCTTATTTTCATAGAAATCCCTGTTTTTCCCCTAAAATATCGCTTATTTTCATGGAAATCCCTGTTTTTCCCCTAAAATATCACTGATTTTCACAGAAATCCCTGTTTTTCCCCTAAAATATCGCTGATTTTCATAGAAATCCCTTTTTTTCCCCTAAAATATCGCTTATTTTCATAGAAATCCCTGTTTTTAACCCTAAAATATCGCTTATTTTCATAGAAATCCCTGTTTTTAACCCTAAAATATCGCTTATTTTCATAGAAATCCCTGTTTTTCCCCTTAAATATTGCTTATTTTCATAGAAATCCCTGTTTTTCCCCTAAAATATCGCTTATTTTCATAGAAATCCCTGTTTTTCCCCTAAAATATCGCTTATTTTCACAGAAATCCCTGTTTTTCCCTAAAATATTGCTTATTTTCATAGAAATCCCTGTTTTTCCCCTAAAATATCGCTTATTTTCATAGAAATCCCTGTTTTTCCCCTAAAATATCGCTTATTTTCATAGAAATCCCTGTTTTTCCCCTAAAATATCACTTATTTTCATAGAAATCCCTGTTTTTCCCCTAAAATATCGCTTATTTTCATAGAAATCCCTGTTTTTCCCCTAAAATATCGCTTATTTTCATCAGAAATCCCTGTTTTTACCCTAAAATATCGCTTATTTTCATAGAAATCCCTGTTTTTCCCCTAAAATATCGCTTATTTTCATAGAAATCCCTGTTTTTCCCCTGAAATATCGCTTATTTTCACAAGAAATCCCTGTTTTTCCCCTAAAATATCGCTTATTTTCATAGAAATCCCTGTTTTTCCCCTAAAATATCGCTTATTTTCATAGAAATCCCTGTTTTTAACCCTAAAATATCGCTTATTTTCATAGAAATCCCTGTTTTTCCCCTTAAAATATCGCTTATTTTCATAGAAATCCCTGTTTTTCCCCTATAATATCGCTTATTTTCATAGAAATCCCTGTTTTTCCCTGAAATATCGCTTATTTTCATAGAAATCCCTGTTTTTCCCCTAAAATATCGCTTATTTTCACAGAAATCCCTGTTTTTCCCCTAAAATATCGCTTATTTTCATAGAAATCCCTGTTTTTCCCCTAAAATATCGCTGATTTTCATAGAAATCCCTGTTTTTCCCCTAAAATATCGCTTATTTTCATAGAAATCCCTGTTTTTAACCCTAAAATATCGCTTATTTTCATAGAAATCCCTGTTTTTCCCATTAAATATCGCTTATTTTCATAGAAATCCCTGTTTTTCCCCTAAAATATCGCTTATTTTCATGGAAATCCCTGTTTTTCCCCTAAAATATCGCTTATTTTCATAGAAATCCCTGTTTTTCCCCTAAAATATCGCTTATTTTCATAGAAATCCCTGTTTTTCCCCTAAAATATCGCTTATTTTCATAGAAATCCCTGTTTTTCCCCTAAAATATCGCTTATTTTCATGGAAATCCCTGTTTTTCCCCTAAAATATCCTTATTTTCAAAGAAATCCCTGTTTTTCCCCTAAAATATCGCTTATTTTCATAGAAATCCCTGTTTTTCCCCTAAAATATCGCTTATTTTCATAGAAATCCCTGTTTTTCCCCTAAAATATCGCTTATTTTCATAGGAAATCCCTGTTTTTAACCCTAAAATATCCCTTATTTTCATAGAAATCCCTGTTTTTCCCCTAAAATATCGCTTATTTTCATAGAAATCCCTGTTTTTCCCTAAAATATCGCTTATTTTCATAGAAATCCCTGTTTTTCCCCTAAAATATCGCTTATTTTCATAGAAATCCCTGTTTTTCCCCTGAAATATCGCTTATTTTCATAGAAATCCCTGTTTTTAACCTAAACATCACTTATTTTCATGGAAATCCCTGTTTTTAACCCTAAAATATCGCTTATTTTCATGGAAATCCCTGTTTTTCCCCTAAATATCGCTTATTTTCATAGAAATCCCTGTTTTTCCCGTTAAATATCACTTATTTTCACATAAATCCCTGTTTTTCCCCTGAAATATCGCTCATTTTCATAGAAATCCTTGTTTTTAACCTCAAACATCATCGCTTATTTTCATAGAAATCCCTGTTTTTCCCCTAATATCCCTTATTTTCACATAAATCCCTGTTTTTCCCCTGTAATATCGCTTATTTTCACAGAAATCCCTGTTTTTCCCCTAAAATATCGCTTATTTTCATAGAAATCCCTGTTTTTAACCTAAAATATCCCTTATTTTCATAGAAATCCCTGTTTTTCCCCTAAAATATCGCTTATTTTCATAGAAATCCCTGTTTTTCCCCTAAAATATCGCTTATTTTCACAGAAATCCCTGTTTTTCCCCTAAAATATCGCTGATTTTCATAGAAATCCCTGTTTTTCCCCTAAAATATCGCTTATTTTCATAGAAATCCCTGTTTTTCCCATTAAATATCACTTATTTTCATAGAAATCCCTGTTTTTCCCCTAAAATATCGCTTATTTTCATAGAAATCCCTGTTTTTCCCCTTCATCGTTGCTTATTTTCACTTAAATCCCTGTTTTTAGCACTAAAATATCGCTTATTTTCATAGAAATCCCTGTTTTTCCCCTGAATTATCGCTTATTCTCATTGAAATCCCTGTTTTTCCCCTGAATTATTGCTTATTTTGAAAGAAATCCCTGTTTTTCCCCTGAAATATCGCTTATTTTCATAGAAATCCCTGTTTTTCCCCTAAAATATCGCTTATTTTCATAGAAATCCCTTTCCCATTAAATATCACTTATTTTCACATAAATCCCTGTTTTTCCCGTTAAATATCACTTATTTTCACATAAATCCCTGTTTTTCCCCTGAAATATCGCTCATTTTCATAGAAATCCTTGTTTTTAACCTCAAACATCACTTATTTTCATAGAAAACCCAGTTTCTAACCTAATACAACGCCTATTTTCACATAAATCCCTGTTTTCCCCTGTAATATCGCTTATTTTCATAGAAATCCCTGATTTTTCCCCTTAAAATATCGCTTATTTTCACAGAAATCCCTGTTTTTCCCCTAAAATATCGCTTATTTTCATAGAAATCCCTGTTTTTCCCCTAAAATATCGCTGATTTTCATAGAAATCTCTGTTTTTCCCCTAAAATATCGCTGATTTTCATGGAAATCCCTGTTTTTCCCCTTAAAATATCGCTTATTTTCAT